CACCGGCTCTGCCCCACCGTGGGGCAGGTGAGATGCCTGGTAGAATACAGTGGTGCTGTGGAGGGCAGAAGAGGGGTGGAGGCTTTGCTATCCAGTTATTCTGCTGTGGTCCATTAGCTGATATTTAATGAAGCGTACAGTGGCCTTGCGCAGTGTTTGGTGGCTCGGTTCTTGAAAGTCCTAACTTCTTGCTTAATTTGTATCAGAGCATTGCTTAATTTAACAGTATGGACATACAGTATATATAAAGGCTGTGGGGATTTTATTCTCCCCTTGAGCATGTGTTTGGAGGTCTGGATAACTACTGTATTGCATTTTGCAGGGTTTGGAAGTTAGGAAGTAATAAAGTTACTTATGGATAGTTTGTTTACTGGCAATGAGGGAGCTCAGTGTCCTGTTTCAGAAGTTAAAACAGTGAGTGTAAACAGAGTGATTTACTGGTGTAATGAGTAACATTTTCTGGTTACTTTGAATCATTGCTTTTAAATGGCATTTAAAGGAACTTTCAGAGGCAGGAACTTTTCAAGTTCAATGTTGTGTCTAAGGGCTTTTTAAAAAACAACAACAGTGACATAGAGTAGGAAATCAAGAAGCAAGACAAAAGGTTGTTTTTCAACATTGTAACACATGAAGATGCCAGATTACTTTTCAAAGCCTGTAACAAGTAAAAGCAGTGCATTGCTTTAAAAAGTTTGTGGCATTTCTTGGTCAACCAGTGGGGTCTGTCGGGGTCCTTACCTGCCCCTGGCTGGAACGCAAGGGTTAATAAGTGCCTTTCTATCCACCCAAACATCCTCCCTCTGATGGGCAGAAAGGAAGCTGTCTTTTCTCATGAGCCGGTAGGGGTTGGTGGCTGAAGCAGGCTCCGCCCCGGGAGTGGCTGAATTTCAAGTTAGTTTTCATAGCAACCCACTCAGTCTCTTTAAAAATAAAAAATAAAAAAAGTAAACTAGTTTTAAGGAGATGGCTTCCCTGGTTTAGATTTGGAACAGGTTTGTGCAGATTTTTTTAAAATTCCATTGTTTGGATGAGTCAGAAGGGGTCAGGCAGTTCCTTGTCCAGCCCTACCTAAGAGGTGGCAACGAAGGCTGAGCATGTCACTTTCCAGTTTGGGGTGTCTCTGCCACCCCAAAGACAGCACGGCACCTTGGGAGTTGTTCTCTGGATGCTCATTAAAAGGTGATTCAGCGGTGGGGAAACTATGTGAAGGCCACAACTAGAATGACTTAAAACAACAACAACAATCCAACAACAACAGAAAAGGTCCGTTCCCATGTCCTACTGGTGTAGCCAAACCTAGGCAGGCATATTTAGAAGAGGTGGTTGGAGATGTTAGCCAACTTTCTTTGTTTTAGCAACGAGAAAGAAAACAGGAAGAAAAGCCTGGTCACACTTCTGAAAGATGATTGACTTTGTTGCCTTTAGTGAGCTGTTTCTTCAGACACAAGTTTTGAATATTGGGCAAAAACAAAAGAAAAATAAAAGGAGACAGAAATGGTATGGCATCTTAAAGACTAACTGCTATATATGCTAGCACAGACTAACGTGGCTACCTCTTGAGCAGAATCAAATGCTCATTCGTCTGTTGCATCTCCTCGTCTCTTGACTCCGTCTCCTAACCCTCTTCCTTTTTTCGTTTCTCCTGGTTTGAATTGCAATTTGTATGTTCCTTGGGGCAGGAACTCACTCTTACCATACATGTCTATGCTTGATTTATATATTCCCTTTCTCCCAGAACTGGGACCCCAGGCAGTTCTCAACGTGTTGTTAAAACATGTCTGAATACGAACAGAATCTCATGTCACAACACCGTTGGGCAAATCATTGTATGGATGATAGAATGGAAAGTGATTGAGACAGAGACAGGGAGCACACAGCATTTTTCGAAAAACACAGACCCACACATTAAAAGTCCCCGTTTTAAAAGCCGGTCTGCCCAAAATGCCAAGGGTGTCCAAATGTCCCTTGCTGGTCAGTAACAAAGCAACCTGGAGGGGGCCAGGCGAGTCAGGAAGCAGCCCCCCCCCGAAAGCCCTGCCTGGAAATCTCATTGTAATAAGGCCGAACAGATACAAGCACCGAGGAGGGTTCCACGAGCAACTGTGGATCAGGGAGCTCAACCACAAGCTTTCTGACTTGCGAGAACCCATTGCTCAGTTTTGCTGCAGGTGCTTTGCAGACAGGAGGCATGTTGGGGAACCGGGAAACAAAAATCAGCTTTGCTTCCCTCCCTTGCCCACTCTGCTATGTAAAGAAGCGGTTCTGTCACCCCTCATCATTAATGGTTGCAAAAACGAATGCACTGGTTTTAATCAAGAACGTCTGCATCAGCTAGTTGACGAAGACCTCCGATTTGAGGACGTCCCCTTCAGGTTCCAGGGAATGCCCAGCATCTCCGATTTGGAGAAGGGGATAAGATAGCAATCACGGGAAAAGCACCAACCTGTTGGAGAGCTGCGAGAGATCATTCCTGCTGAGCTGGGGCGGGAAGGTCTGTAAGGCAGTTTCCCCATGACTGCTCTGTGAATATCAGAGGTGGCTGCAGTACCGCAGAGGGCCGTTCTCTCCCTTGTCCCCTGCCCGTTGGTTTTCCTGGGACAGGCGGTGGGCCATTGATGCACCCGGAACAAGCCTTCCCATTAGGGAAGGTGCGGAAATGCTCGGGGTGGCAGCTTTTGACTGTCAGGATCAGGCAGCAGATTGTTCGTTATTTACTTTTAAAAACGGATGTGTTTTTTCCTGCCCCGAATGCCGTATGATCCTTGTGGGGTGTTCCGCTTGCTTAGAGAAGTCAGGTGGGTTTGGGTACCTGGGGATTTCAGGAGGGGAAGGGTGGCGTTGCCCGTGAGCAGCAGCGTCTTGAGATGATGACCCTAGTGACTGAGTGTGGTGTGATCCAGGGAGAGGCTTTGTGGTTATTAAATCTTCTCTCACGCTGGAGGCTTTCCAAAATATCTCTCCTGGGAGAATTATCGGTTCTTGTCTGTGTGATTCCATTCCTGATGCTATTTTATCTCTTTCACATGAATTTTAAGTGGGCGTCGTGTCCCAGCTGAAACTTCCAGTTTTCAGATCTGGCTCCTCCTTGCTGAGAAGTGGCCTCCAATTCAAGGGCTCCCGCCTGCCCAGAGAGGGGTCTGTGCCAAGGAGAAGGAAGCAGCCAGCGCCCTCCTCCAGGCCTGCAGTCCCAGCGGTCAGAAAAGGCCTCTCGGGCCACACGGAGGAGGCAGCCTCTCCTCCTCTTCTGCCACTTGATCTCTGTAATCGCATTGGACTAAAGATCTTTGGCTGTCTAAGCTTGTTAAGGCGACCGGCCTCCCGGGGGGTGGGGGGTGGGAAGGATAACATTCTGGGGCTTGGCCCTACTGGCCCCGGGGTGCTCCTCTGTGCCGTTGCCCTGCTTGGAAGTCATCGGAGCCTCCTTGCTCAGTCATGGCTGATCTCAGGATTGGCCTCCAGTTGCGAGAGCCAGAAATGGGACCCATCTAAAGTTTGCCTCTAGTTTATTATCAGCTGTGGCAGGCAGAAGCTTCTATTTTAGCATGAGAGTATCCCGATGACACAGCGTGCACACTCCCAGCTTCTCCTGGAATAAGCTGGCCTTCCCTGGTGAGATCAGGGGGCGGGAGAAGCGACTGGCTGGCTCCACTTGAGGGCCACAGCCCACCTCATCCACCAGGGCCACCGTGGCAGGTACAGGAAACTTCTCGCAACACAACCTTTGTGAGGAAGAGCGAACTTTGTCATTTCCCGCAGAGGGAAGTGGAAGGTAGCATCTGCTGGTTGCTTCATAGGAGCCTGTGTTAAATAGCCACCGTTCCATACCATACAGTAGAACCGGAAAAATATATCATCATACAATGTGTATTCTCAGTGTCACATCTTTCTTGCCTATGACATGGCTCACCTTAAGGATGCTGTTCTGGGCTGTCTCTCTTCTGATCAGTTGCAATGAACTTTATATAGAACCAGTCAGAGATGGGTGTATTCCAAGGGCTGAAGAGACATTGGATTGGTGGCAAGCAGACCTCCTCCTCAAGCCCATCATTCTCTATGGTCTTTCCATCTCTTTCCTCTTCCCAGGCTGGGGACATCCATGTGAATGTGGCAGTCATGTCAAGTACTATAAATCTTAACTGGAGACAGAATCCCCTGGGGCTTTGCTCCTGAGCAAGAGAAGTGACAGTTGGGGGGGGGGGAGAATCGCCCTGTGTGTGCAGCCAAACCACTCAGTACTTTTCTGAGCCAGTTGGGGGCTGCTGGCTCCCATTTCATGTCTCCCTCTGTGTGTGTTTGTGTGTGTGAATGCGCTTTGTGTAACCACCTGAACTTTACTGGCCCTTGACGTCACTCCTTTCAGATCCGGACTAAGACCTGGTCCAGATTCACCCTGCCCCGTGGAAGCCAGTCCTTCTCCAACCTTGGGCTGAAGAGGGAAAAAAGTCTCAGAACGGGGTTGCCAGCCTCCACCTTTCTCCGGTTCAGAGGGGCTACCTGGGACTGGACAGTGTGGGAGGTTACATTGCAAAAATAATGTAATAAAGAGGAGTAATGTTGCTTTGTTGGTGTAAAAATCCACAGTCCCTAGTTACTTTTGAAGTTAATTTCAGTGAATATTTTATTTTTTTACATTTCTAGAGGCTTTTGTTGTTGTTGTTGTTGTTCAAGATGGATGCCATTCTTCTATCAAATCCAATGTTTTTTTCTTCTCCTCAGAGCAAAACTAATTTTAAAAAGGAACAATTAACCCATAAAGGAACAGCGGGGGGTAAATATTCTTAGAACAGTAGCAAATAACACTGGGTTGTATTTCAGCACTGTAGCGAGTAACGCGTTGCTGTGTATCCCTCAGGGTGGTTTATTGGTGGCGTGCCTCCCCATCAGCACCGTAGCGAGTAACACATTGCTGTGTATCCCTGAGGGTGGTTTATTGGTGGCGTGCCTCCCCATCCCCATTTTCACCTGTGGCCCCCTCTCGTGCCTCTCCCCGCACAGCACCAGCGCTGCCCGGTGGTGACCCTCGACCCGGCCCCTGTCCCGGTGACGCCCCCGCTCTCCCCGCAGCCCTCCACCCTGGCCAGCAGCCGTTTGGAAAAGGGCTCGTCATGCCGCTCGCTGGGCGCCCGGTGCCGCAACTCCATGGCCTCCTGCCCCGACGAGCAGCCACACATTGGCAACTACCGCCTCCTCAAGACGATCGGCAAGGGCAACTTTGCCAAAGTCAAGCTGGCTCGGCACATCCTCACGGGCAGAGAGGTGAGATGGGCACAGGGGGGAGAGAGAGAGGTGTGTGTGTGTTTGTGTGTGTGTGTATGTGTGTGTAGTGGGTGGTCCCTGAGGCTACCTGAGAAACAAGGTAAGCAGTACTGGTCACCCCATGTTAGAAAGAAAATCTCACAATTGCGTGCCATCAAGTCAGTTCCAACTTAGGGTGACCCTTTCCACAATTTTTCTAGGTAGAAAAAACTGCTCAGGTTTTCCCTTCCCTTCTTTGGAGTGGGGTGCCCTGGGACTACGGTGCAGCTGGCCCAAGGCCACCCAGGCTGGCTCTCCTCCCAAGAGGCACACGGTGGAGGCATTCAGCTCCCAACCTCTGGGCTCCATACCCAGGCACCTAAACTACTGAGCTATCCAGCCAGCAGAAAGGCTATCGGCCAGTTCTGGAAAAAGAGGAGGTCCCTTCCAGCAGCATTTCTGAGCTCTCTTTCTGCTCAATGGCATAGGCCTCTGGCTGCAGAGCCCAAGGCTGGGAGTTCGATTCCCCTGTGGGGTCCTCCTGGACAGGAGCTGGACTCCCATGATCCACACGGGTCCCTTCCTGCTCTGCGGTTCCAAGATGATGATGATGATGATGATGATGATGATGATGGTGATTATCCAGTATGGCCAGTTTATGCAACAGCCATGCTGACTGGGAGTTTCTGGCCCTTATATTGTGGGGTGCCCCTTGTCAGGTGTTCATCTGAGGCTAGACAACTATCTGAACCCTTTTGGGGGAGGGGGGGAAACCGCAGTAGGATCCCAGAATCTGAGCATTGCAAGGCCTCTCCTGCTTGTTTAAAAACACCGCGCTGATTTCCAACCCCCTGTTTCTTCCAGGTGGCTATAAAAATTATAGACAAGACCCAGCTGAATCCCACAAGCCTGCAGAAGGTGAGCACGTGTGGCTTGCAGGGAGGGTAGTAAGGGGTTAGGTGCTTGCGGGGGTGTGTGCATCAGTATCCTTGCAGGGGTGTTGCTAGTGGGAAAGCCACAGAAAAGGTGCCCAGTTCCATCTTGATGGGCCATGGGCTCCAAGGGAATAAAACCCA